AGAAAAAATGACAGAAAATAGTTTTTCAGGTTGTCCGGTCGATCGCGAGTCAGCTACGTCGATCGGAAACGTGCACGAGGTCCAGGATGATTTCCGGAGGTGAGTCAGTTGACCGCACTGACCCTGTAATCGATTTCTTCTATGGAGTTGGGTTCGGTCGACTGTAGCGGTCGACCGATAATACCCTGTAGGAATTTAGTGTTCTGTCGATTGCTGGGTGGTCGACGGTGTCGGTTTTGGCGGTCGATCGCTAATCGGGTTTTGAGTTGGGTTTGGATTTCGGACCCGTTTCGTTATGAGCTGATATATAACCCTAAACCTGATTAATTAGGGCTAAGTAAGGACGATTTGAACAGTCTTTGAGAGAGGATTTTTGCATCCTTTGTAGGAGGATTTGTGAGAGATCTAGAGAGCTTTGTTTAAGGGTTTTTGGTGAGATTTGAAATCCTATTTGTAATTCTCTTTATCTCTAATAGTAAAAACTCTCCCTCCTTGCCCCGTGAACGTAGACAACTTAACGAACCACGTAAATTAGTTTGCCGTACTGTGATTGTGATTTGTGCTTGTGTTTTGGTTGTGATCTTTCTCGTTCTTGTTCGTGCACTATTAATTAGCTTTCGAGTTCCGCTGCGCACAACAAGTGGTATCAGAGATTCGGGTTTGGCTTGAGACTTATTCGAAGGATTCACTAAAGGATTCTTATTTGGAGAGTTATATCTACAACATAGGAGAAGCAATCACATCGGGGTCATCTCTTACAAAGGCGATACAACGTCTGAGCATCAATAATACAAAAATTAATGTTTTGGAGTTCTGGCAAGATCAATTTCGGTTTGTGAAGACGCCAGGTGATGGATGTGTTGGATGCACAGAATTTGGAGGAGACTCTTGAGTTACAAGAGAAACTTGAAGACATGGAGGACAAGGTTTGGAAGAAGATGAACAGTAGGGATTGTGGAGTTATTCGGTCATGCTTGACGCCAGATCTTATTTATGATGTGATGACCGAGACGTTGCGTAATGACCATGAATTTTCGATACTAGTTTAAATAATTTTTTAGTATTTTAAAATATTAAATACTTATTTTTAAATGAGTGTTATATTTCTAGAAAATTTCTATGATTTAAAAATCTGGTTTTATATTTATATTAATAATTTTGTTAATTATAAATTTAATTGTTACGGTAAAAACTCTTTAAATTAATATTTGATTTTTTATATTGTTATTAATTATTTTATATTGATTTTTCCTTAATTTCTCCCTAAATTTTCTGCCTAATTTCTCCTTAATTTCCTCCCTAATTATTCTCTTAATTTCTCCTTAATCACCTCCTTAATTCTCTCCCTAAATCCCGCACTCTCACTACCTCTGTCCCCCTCTCCTTCTCTCTCCTCATCATAACTAGCTCACCATCTCTCTCTCCTCTATTATATCTCTCTCTTCATCTCTCTTCTCATTCTCTCTCTCTCTCTCTCTCTCTC